TCGACGAAATTTGTGGCAAAATATGAGAAAAACTAAAAAATAGGTAAATTTAACATTTTCCCGCCGGGTTACTGTCGCACTCGTTTCAACTGTTTCTGGTTGTTTCGGCTTTCAGATATTTGTTTACAAACATCGCATACACTTCGCCTCAACCTTTTTTTTTCTCTTCTTTGGTCTAAATCTAACTCATTTGTTATGAAACAATTAAAACTTCTTTCCTATTAGTATCCTCTCCAGAATGTTAATGGTTTATTCAATAGTAAATAGGCCAATTATCGTAAGCGCTTTAATACAAAGAATGCCACCCAAGTCGTTAACTTTGAGCACATGTATCTCAGTTCCTGTAAAAGATACCAAAAAAGTGTCAATTGATAAAATACTTTTGATATTATGATAAACATTTAATCAGTTAATCACTTTTGATATCTTCCGCTAACACTGAGATTTCTGGGTTCAAAAACGGTTTGGGTGGCATTCTGTTAGTGTTTACGGTCAAAGCAGTCTCCATAAAAACAATTCAGGATTGTGTGACGGTGTGAAAGGTTGTTTGTTTCCATTATTTCAAGTTTTTCTCTTTTTACGAGATACAGATATTGAAATATTCGTCGCAACCTATCCGTCACAAGGACAACAAGCTACGGATGACAATTATCTGATCTATGTGTGTGTTGTTCGTTCGGAGAGAATGGAAATAAAAAAGCGGCTAACATAGCCTTCCTTATCATTTCTTCTTGTTCGTTCAGTTTTATCTTTGTGTGTTTTGGATTGCGTTGGAGACTTGGGTTCGGGTTTTTTCGCTAGGTGCAAATGTTTTAACTTGCTTAAAATATCAGGTTTATTCTCGTTCCCAGTTATATAATCTTGAATGACACTTAATTTTCTTACTCCTTTTATTCCACGCTCTGGAAATCTGAAAGCATGATGGATACTTAAAATCAGAATTATGATGCCTCCTCGTCTACATTTACACTTTCAGATTCTAATTTAATTATTTCTAGACAATCAGTTGAACTTTTCTAATCAGCTGATACAGTTCTTGATCATTAACAAGAGTATATTTAATGACTACGTTCTATACGACATTAACTTTTGATCAATTTAGATCAGTCACAAATCCTTTCCAGTTTTTTCATCTTCTCCATTTTCTCTAAAAACCTTCTTCCTCATTCTTTATCTCGTCGCCGCTGACGCTTTTGCCTACATCATTGAAAGGGCATTCAATCACATTTTGTCATAGAAATCACAAAAAATCTAACAAGCTTTTTGGAAACTGATAGGAATTGATTAATGACACATTTAACTACCGTAAAACCAGCTGTAATAGAAGCCCCACCCTTAACTTTGAAGCTGAGCCCATTTTCCTCGGTTCCTGTCTAAAGAATAAAAAAGTTGTCAACTGATAAATTGCTCATCATAATATCACAAACAGTTCATCAGTTGACACATTTTTGGTATCTTGCATAGAAGCCAAGAAAAACCAGCTCAAACTTGATAGTGTAGTGCCCTTATATTACAGGTTTTACGGTATTATATTTTGTCTTGTTTGATTTATAGGATGCTTAGTTTTAAACAATTGGTATAAATGATTCAGCTGAACATTTTAGACGCCGTCTCGCATGCCGCCCATCTCAAGATGTGGAAGTGGAATGGCTAGATTCCAAGATTCAAATCACATTCAAGTCCGATGCGCCGATAAGGTGGGTCAAGAAGTTTCGAACAATAAGATATGGCTAATCGAAAAGTGTTTATAGTTGTGTCGCCTCGGATCTGAGCGGCTTTTCCGACAGCGATGATGTCTTTGTGTCTCCAGCGATCAAACTGGAAGCAGATCTGCCATTGGAGATACCTTACACGAACTTCGCTGTGGAGTGTGAGCAAAATGGGAAGAGAGTTTACAGAAAGTCGTTCTATAATTATAAAAAAGATCAAGCATCTAAAGAATTTGAAGCCATGGAGTCCACTCCGGTAATAACAACTTGATAAATACTGAGCCTGAGCTTAAATAATTTCAGACAAGTCCATCGATTGCAGTTCTTTATTTAAGATCCATGTCACATTCACAACTGCAAAGAGAGTTTCCAAAGATTGTCAAATCAACCAGAAGATTTGGATTTTATTCATTCCCAATGTTTAACAAAATTTCTGATAACATCACGGATTTAGTTAATAGAACATTCTGGCATGACGAAGTCAAACACACAGTGGGACAGTACATGAAAAGTTAGTACAGTATATCAAAAAACATATTTTAATATAGTATTTTTCAGATGAGAGATATTGCAAAGTGTTCAGTAACACCAACCTTTCCGGAATTCAATCTGATTACGATCTCTCCAACTTTGGGCACAGTTTGAAATCCGACACATGTTCTGATGATGATGTAGGAGACCTGAATTAAAGGTGGAAGTTTTAAATCGGCTGAATTTTTCAGAGTGTCGCTCAGAGACTTATCGAACAATGGGCCCAGTTCTCGATTCAAAACCCAGATCATTGTTATCTATCGCATATTTTCGTAAACAACACAATCTGGTCAAAATCGCTGGACGACACATTGAGGTTTGGTGAATGATCCTTGAGGGGGGAGAGGGATACGGTAGTTGAGAGGGAGAAGCTAAAATGATGATGTCATTAAGATCCACATGTTGTTTTTCAGTGCTGTCCTCGAACAATTCCAATTGAATGAAGTATTCAAGAAAACATTAGTCGTTGTAGTTTCGGCAGAGGGGATTCCAGTAGGGTGAGTGAAAAAAAATCTGGAAGTTCGAATATGGAAATTTAACCCGATCTTCAGAACATTCGGAAACAGTTACACTGGCAAAGTCGAAGAGCGGAATCCTATTCTTTTGGCTCATATCCCTGACAAGCTGAAGAAACTATACAATGATCACATGTTCCACTTGGAAAGCAATCAGAACAGGTTGGTTCAGAATGTTTTCGAATACATTTTGTTTTGTTGTTCAGACTGATCACCCATTTGGAAGTTTTCGATCTCATCAACAGTTTTGCAAGACTCTCCAAAGACCAAGCAATTGTTCCAGTCCGAGATAACTTCATGGATTGGAAGAGAGAACATGGTAAATCAGTAAACGAATTCTCGTCTTCTAGTCTTCCTTTTCAGTTCGTGGAATTTCTCCCTGGCAAACATTGATTCCACACAACAGAACATGTTATCATGTTCCAATCGAGGATGAATACTGTCTCTGTATGGAGAACAAGATTGATATCGAAAAGGAGTACAATCAGTGAGTATCTGTAAAAATGAATTCCATGAGTTCCAAAATTTTCAGAACATATGCAATTGCTTCAAGACTATACGAGAGGATGGAATCAGATATTCTCTCCAATTACACCTGCATGAAGGAAACAACATGGATTGAAGAGAGGAACTATACTGCGGTGTACAATTTGAACGAAAAAGTATTGAATGGAACTGACCCGTACACTGAGTTCTTGTATTTTGGAGTTAGAGCATATCCGAAGAAATTTAACACTCGAAACAATAGAAAAAATGTGAGTCATATTAACGGGAAACTTGCTTTTCGATTTGTGTTGAAACTGTAAACACTAATAGAACTCCACCCTTCACTTTTAACTTTGAGCCCATATATCTCACTTCCTGTAAAAGATATCAAAAAATGATCAACGAACAAAATGTTCATCATAATATCAAAAAATTTTGCCAGTTGAGTACTTTTTTATACCTTCTACAGGAACCGAGATAAATTGGCTCAACGGTAAAAGTGAGCGGAGGCGTTCTATCAGTGTTTACAGTTTAAACTAACTTACAGAATTTCCATTTTTCAGTTTTTTGTGAATGTGATGGGATTGTTCAAACACGACAAGGACGACCAATACAACTTTGAAAAAACGTATCCATATGTAACGGACACTTTGAAAAGTGGATGCTTAGCTGGATATATGGAGAGGTAAGAGTATCAAGATGAGCGTTTTTAACGATTAATATTGCAGATTCTGCGAAATGTGTCATGGACCTAACTTCTTGACTTCATAGCCAATTATCTCATAAGCAATCTAGGATCTGGAGTACAATATATGGAAGCTTTAATTATGAAAATCCTGTATATAACATGTTTTCACTTTCTTGACACAAATGTGGAATTCCTTAAACGGGCTTGAGACTTGTTTTTCGATTTTTAAAGATAGTTTCGAATATGAATTTGAATAAATATTGAATTGAACTGATCTGTTTGGATGTACTGAAGTTTTAAAAAACTCGAAAGCGACTTTGAAAATTGCGTTTCAAAGATTAACTGAGGTGTCGGAAATTTCAACTACATTTTGTAAACAATGATGTGTATCGGAAGTTGAATGAAAACGAACTAAATATCGAGCATGAAAATATATTTTTGTGTATTTGAGTGAAAACGGAATCTTGAGAAAATGTGACTAGATTGAAATGACCTGCGACGGAGTATTCGTTATTTTTCCAGAAAATTTATGTTTTTCCTATTTTATCTGGAAAAAGTCTTCAATTTGCAAGGCAATTTCTTCATTTGCAGACCATCTTTTTCGATTTTTTAGCAAAAGTTTAAATACAGTAATTTCTAGGCGCAACAGTAAAAATTTTCTGTGCGTCCCACAACGAAGATTCAATTGTAGAGCTGTGCCTTTAAGAAATCTTATGGTTGGCCTGCAAAAACTATTTTGAAAATATTTTAATTTCGACACATTTTTTTCGCATTTTGTATTTTCCATTATTTTTTACTATCTTTCACAATTTCCTCTTAATAGCTATTAGATTTACATATTGTATTGCTTAAAACACTTTTGTTCAATTCTGTGAAGACGTCTTATCGCTGTCTGAAAAAATGAAGGTTGAGACGCAGAGAAAAAAGTCTGCGTCTCCAATTAATATGTGCTATTTAGGCTCGTCGCTTTGAAATCGCTACCGTACTCAGTCTGCAAAAAATACTCTCTAACCTTCATTTTTTCAGACAGCGATAATATTACTGCTCAAAGCGCAAATTGCAATTATTATTTTTGAAATTTTGCAAAAAAAGTACTCTAAAATAAAACAAGATTCCTTGAAATCGTATAGTTTTCTATGTCTCTTATAACACTTCTCAATTGCGCCCCATCGTACCGTCCGGGGGTTATTTCATCGCCTTCCTGTGCTAGTGTTTGTGTGCACATCTCTCTCCGCGTCTCTATTCATCTCATAATCTCTCCTTTCTCACAATTCGTGTATCTATCTCTCTTCTCTACTTCTGCTTTTCCCCAGCGTTGTTCTCGTGTCCACTTCTTCTTCTCACCCTCTCGCCTTTAATTACTTTTCTCGTCGAGCTTTCTAATCATAATCGACCATCATGAGAGTATACTCTGGCTCCTCTAACCACGATATATTATGCTTTACTATCACTTGTGTTAACAGACTGGAACTGAAACAATTCGTCGTTATGCGATGAGGCCGTTTGGGAAAGATTGCCTTTTGTCGATTCTTGTGGAACTCTCTATCGTCGCCTTCATCGCGGCATTTCTGCCTCTGCTAATCCGGTTCGTTTTCTTTTTTTTTGCTTTCAATATTTTTGTTTCCTGCCGAGCCTCAACCCTTATAACTCTGGTTCTCATGGTGATTCTTTTCCCTTTCTCATCATGTGGGCGGAAATGCGCGTAATGGGGTTATTCAGAGAGTCGGCAAAAAAGGAAAAAACTCCGCGAAAACTCGGAGAGTGTTCCAATCTGGCTGAAACTTTAGGGAAAACTGGAGAAAACTATAGGAAATATTTTTTTTTCTGAAAAAAAAGTTTCTCAATCAGAATAAGTAGCAGACTTATTTTCGATGAAAATCGATATGGCCTATAAATTCCCTCTATTGAAATAATCAATTATAATGATTCGTGTCTAGCTTTGCTGGCTTGTTTGTATGACAAACCCTTCTTTGCATCTCAAATTTCTCACGCCTTCTTCGTCTTGCTTGCTTTTTCAACACCGTTTTATCGATTAAACGTTTCTCTAATTTTCAGATATGCTGCTCTTCCAACGTCCGTTCATCATCAGTATCCCCTCAACGTCGTTTTTCGCACATGTGATCATGACCTACACAGCGTCTGTTCATTTCCCTCCGCCACTTTAGAGTACGAAAAGGTCGGCTCACTTTTCTTCGTTTCCTTATTTTGCTTTCTCTCACTCTCTTGTTAATTTGCTCCACTTTCAGAACTCTCTCTTTTCGCCGAACGTAGCTTATTATCTAAATGTTCGCCTGAAGTTCGCCGACATTGCCAGCTCGAAAAAGCTAGGATTCTTTCAAAGTGTGATTTCAATAACTGAAGAAAATGGAAAAGTTGTACAGCAATATACAAAATCGGCTTATGTGAAAGAACCAGGTCTCATAACGAAGGTTAGTCTCCTTTCAAAGCTTTTTTGAACAAAATTATTAATGATTTCCAGGCATCACAAGTCTTCCTATTTCCTTTGTACATTCTTGGATATCTCTATGATTATAGCACATTGACCATCTCCATGAGCGAGAACTATTTGGAACAATTAGGTTCTCCATCGACCAAGTTGATCTTCACAGTTCAAGATAAATTTGCCAACGTAAGTTTTTATCGATAATGCAGTAGAAAATGCGCAGAACGATTTGGCGAAAATTGAAATTTTTCAGATCGAAGAAGCGGAGCTGACTGTCACTGCTCGTTTTGGTTTGATTCGACATCTGATTTACTACTGGCCCGTGATGTCTTACACCGCAATGTTCGCCTCTTTTTCAGTTTTCGGTGTTTTTCTCATCGTTTTGAAAATTGGATATCTGGAATACAGAGCTAGACAAAAAGCTGCGATTGAAAAAAATAAAATGGCAATTGTAAAAACCAAACAAGCAGATAAAAAAGTTAAGGAAGAACTTAAAGAAGAAGTCAAAAAAGAAATTCCAAAAGAAAATTTAGAACTTCGGAAAAGGAAATGATAATTGTAATATTTTTCCATCTTTGTAATTTCTATTGTATAGATTGTGTACTCAATAATTGCTGTTAGCTTTTTACTGGTATTGGTATCTCACTGGTGATTCTCCCTTCATATTGCCTTATTTTATTGATAAACGGTTTCTTTTGAGTGTTCAGATTTTTTGTTTTTTTTTCACGAATGGTCTCTTTCCAATTATCATATCTCTCTTTATCTTCCTGTTATTGTTATCATAGACTCTTCAATCTGTCTATCAGTCTGAATTGTAACAATTTTCAGTTTAGTATGTGGTAATGTCAGCGTCGCCATGTCAATGTTGTCTGGCCACGCGTCCACCACACAGCCAGCATGTCTCGGGTTCTGCGGTCGAAGTTTCATCTCCACAAACTATTCTGAAGAAGCGACGTCGACGTCATCGCTATCACAATGTGGAGCGTGTTCATTTGGTTACCGTAGTAACGCCACATCGATCTGTGTACCGTGCGAGACGCCGCTTCAAGCTTATGATTGGATGTACCTCTTGTTCATTGCCCTCCTTCCCTTACTCCTCCATATGCAATTTATTAGAGTCGCCAGAAAATAGTGAGTTTTTATATTGTATTGAAACATGTGCCTTTCAAAATCTGATCGGTTCAATTCGAAAATCAATTAGATATGCACCAAAATCTAGATCGAAATATCTAAAAAGTTGTTATAGCTGTCGAACACGGTACTACGAAGTCTCGGAGTACCTGTGCGTCATTCTGGAGAACGTCATCGCCTGTGTTATATCCGTGCTCATCTACCCTCCACGATTCTCTTTCTTTCTCAACGGGTGCGAGAAAACTGGATTGAAAGAATGGTATCCAGCGTGCTATAATCCAAAAATAGGCTACACTAAAACAATGAGATGTACTTATGAAGTTGTGTTCCCATTGTGAGTATTTAAATCGGTTTAAACTTTCAGACAACAATGTTTCAGATATTCAATCACGTTCGTGCACCATATGATATTGATGGGTGCGATATTCACACTCCGCTCAATACTTTACTGTGCCATGCTCTACAAGGCATATAACGCAAAACCGTACTATCTCGCGATAGTTTCGGTGCCTCTTCTAGTCATGATTCATTCCGTTTTAGTAAGTTTTATATCGGGCGAAGCCTCATACACTGTTGATTTTTCAGTCTGGCTTGATATTCTATTCCTTCCCGTATATTCTTCTGATCGGTTCTCTCTGGGCGATGTGCTTCCATCTAGCATTGGAAGGAAAACGACCACTGAAGGAGATGATAGGTATACTGATTGTTTTTCACATTGATATAAATATAAATTTGTTTCAGTGCGCCTAGCTACGTCTCCAACTCATTGGGTGTTCCTCACAATAACAATGTTGATGCTATCGTTCGGTGTTGTAGCACTGATCACCCCATTGTGAGTTTGAAGCTAGATCCTTGGTTCTCGTGTCCATGTTCTGATTCCTTTTTACAGGAAGACCTAACAGGCTCATATATAGCTTATTTATATCAGTATTATGATTATTATTATTATCTGGGTGAAATTTTGATTCGAATTTCAAACAATTGCAACCGACTGAAGTATCTTACAGGGATATTCAATATAGATGGTCGCTTCTTTGTTTGGTACCAGTTCCATTGGTCTTCTACCTGATAACGATACCGTTCAGCAATCCAGCTACCACAATGCGGCTCATCTAAAACGAAGATTCTAATAGATTGATAATATAGTTTGTGATACTGTTTTACTCTGTCTTATTAGTAATATCAATCAAACCCTGTAGTCATTTCATGTCAAATAATTATTCTCCCATCCCACCACACATCATCCTCCGTCTCTGATATTCTGTAGCTTGACTTCCTTATATAATCATTTTTCCCGGTCTTTCTTTTCCCTTTTCTTCTTCATCTTTCCACCCGTTTTGTGCTCGTTTCTCGTGATCACAATTTTGCCATTTCCAACCAGTCGTCGTTTTTCCCAAAGAATGCCCCCCGAAAACTCCCAGTTATCTTGTTCTCGATTTTCTTCCTTTTTTCCGAAGAAATGTCATTTTTCAACTTTTTGACAACTTCCCACCCACATACCAAACGGGTCCCCGTTTAATATTCCACGCAACAATACAATTGTTCTTTTAAAAATCGTTTTGTGACATAGTAAAGATGAGTAATTCGATAACTCCGTCTTCGTAAAAGATATCTTTGATCATATTCGAGATCCGACTTATAATTTCTTGATTCAGATGGGTGCCAAATGGGTGGTCGGGTTTCTAATAATAATTTGCTTATCTATTGATATCGAAGCTTCTCAGGGTGATAAGTGAGTAATCCATTTGTAACTGATATAAATCCGTTGTCAGAGATTTTCAGAAGTTTCTGGTACCAGGGATGCACACAAAAGTGTATATCAAAGTTCAACTGTACAAAATCGTTCGGAACTTTTTCATGGGTTCATGGTGATTGTTTTTGGTGTCGATATGATTGTATGTGGGAAACGATTGAGCAATTCGAAAGGTTTTAATTCAGCAAAATTCGGCTCGATCAGATTAATTTATTATTCAGACAGTTCGGAATGGTTCCACAGTTTCATGGAAAATGGCCGTTTGCAGCGATTCCACTTCCACTCGGATTCGTAATACAAGAGCCCGCCTCCGTTGTGTTCTCGCTTCTGAATCTATACACCGTCTATAAAATGCTTAAACGATTTCTGAAGATGTCCGAGCTGCTGATGAAAACCACGTGGATCTCGTACGCATGCGTCGGGTTGTTCGCATGGATCTCATCGTCAGTATTCCATTTATCGGACTGTGATTTAACAGAAAGTATGGATTATTTCGGAGCTTATACATTTGTCGCAGGAGGTCTATATGTCTCTCTAGTGTTCACTTCTCGAGCATTACTCCCTTACTTCGGAGGAAGAACAAGGATTCTAACAGTTTTGAAGATTCTATGCGGTGTGTTCTACTTGAAGCATATCAGGGATATGACTGTTCACTTCGACTATGGATACAACATGCTGACGTGTATTGTCTATACCATAATCACATGTGCTTTGTACATTCACTACATTTGGTTCAGGTTTGTTTGAAACTATTCCAGATTTTTATCCAATTGTCCGTTATTTTCAGATACCGACGTTTGGGAAAACTCGAAGAATCCGACATTCTTCTCATTCGAATTATTATTTGGGCCAATCTATCGGCTGCGCTAGAAATTTTAGACTTTATTCCAGTCTTCTGGATATTCGATTCCCATTCCTTATTCCACATGGCTACTATACCGATTCCCATTTGGTGGGCTGAGTTTCTAGACATCACCCATGGTTACGATACTAACGACCGAAAGAAATACAATGTATTAAAAATAGCTTAAAAAGCACTGGGATAAAACTAATTTTTTTAAATCTAAATACTAGTCATTCAGTTTTGAATTTCTTGTACATGTCATCTGTGTTTTTCTTCATTCATTGTGATCTTAATTGAAAATCCTCTCTTGTTATATGTGATCTTTTCAAAATCCTCAAGAATGCAATTTCTGTTTTTCCTAATGATTCTCCTATTCCATTAAAAAGTATGTCAAAAATGCGCATGAATGAATTTATGTACAACTCGAATGTGAAAAAAGGCGAATGCGACAGGTACAAAAATACAAAAATTAGACATCGTTAGGAGTTGTTATGGAATTGTTACATCTTCTTAGAAGACATTTATATCTGCTCATCAGCAGAGACATCACGGACTTTCTCGACGGTGAATTGCTCGAAATTCTCCCATGGCTTCTCCCAGATGGTGACCTGGTATATGGCACGGCTTCCTCCGTCCTTGACGTTGCAGTTCGACGAAGTGAGCTCGTGTGGCTGCATGTCGCCCTTCTTGCACGACGACTCTCCGACGAGAACCTCGAGCTTGGTGTTGAGTCCAGCAACCACCTGGGTTTGAGCCTTGGTGACCTGAAAATGAAGTTTTCAAATTATTTTTTTTAACAAAACACGTTATGCTTCGCCGAATCGCGCTCTCTGTTGGCCTTGTAATCCTCTTTTCGTCGTTCCAGTCTCCCGAATTCCGATCAAAACATTTTGTCCTCTTTTGCGATACACTGTTTGCTCTCACCCTTATCTAGTTTTTTGATCAATCGATGCTATCACAATTGGAATGATTTTCATTCTTAACTCTCCTTCTCTCTTCTAACTTTTCAGCTAAAAATGGCAACCGAATCTTCAGTGTCTTCCTATACTCTCAGTACAGATGATTCTGGTACAAGGCAAAGAAAAGTAAAGAATTTCAACAACGTATTTCAAAAATAAATCCATTAAATTTTAAGGAAGTTGATGAGCTACCACAAATCGGTTACACTCTTGAGCAGCTGAATGAGAAGAGAGAAGAACCGAAGTGGCGTATTGCTAGGTATTCTGGTTCATATATAGTTTTTTTTTCTGAATTCTGAACTTTTAGATTCACCGCGATCGGTTTGTTCTGGGCAATTTGGGGAGCACTTCTTGCCGGTTCTATTCTTATCATCATTCTCAATAATCATGACGTCGCAAGCACTACTGCTGCTCCAACTACCACTACCAAAGGGAAATAACTTAGCAACTTACATACATGTGTTTTTTTTAATAAAGTTTGATATTTAAGGGAAATTCGAATATTTAGTCTACAGTATATAAAGCTGCGTACAGCATACATGCTGAATTTTGGCTGGACCGGAGATTGAAATTCAACAGATTTTTTTTTCGAAATTTGAATTTTTATAAAAAATTTTCCCAAAGGCGGGTCTTCCAAATCGACTTGTCGCACAATATGAACGACTTCTAGAAAGCATAAAGAATCTTGGAAAACACAAACCTTGATCGGAACATAGTAGTAAGGTCCATTGTTAGATGCTTGATCGTTGATGCCCTTCACGGCCTTCCAAGCTTGCTCCTACAAAAAGAAAAGACGTATTGGCGTTCATCAATAGTTGTTGCACATTTATGAGCTTTCTTATGAGCAATATAATTACTTTCGAAAAAAAGTTATTCAGAAATTCGAAAACTATCAGAATTAAACCTCCTAGATAAAAGCTTCATTTACTTCTCGAAAAGATGTGTAATAAAAAGGAAAGGAGATAAAATCTTACATGATATTCCTTCTTGGAGGCATCTTGCTCAGTGAATCCACCAACCATCGTGCTTGCGTTCACAGTAACTGAAATGTAACTGACAATGAAGGCGACGACGAGAATGGCTTTCATGGTCTGTTTTGTTTATCGATTCTTGCGCTGTGGTTGTGTGTCAGCGTCTCTCTAAAGTATGCACTATTTTGTTTGTCGTGAGTCAGGGGGAGAAGAGACACTGAGGAAAAATGGAGACTCGTGATGCTAAATGAACAGTAAGAGATCACAAAAACAAGTTTTAGATAAACAAACATTGCGAATTTCATTGCTTATCGAAAAAAGGCTAAGCAATAAAGAAACACGAAAGAACGAACAATTTCAAACGATTTTAATTTTGATTCTAATTTGGGAATCAAGATACAATGGGAGTGTAAAGAGCTGTGAAATGTGTGAAAACGAGAAATGCCAGCTGAGCAAAGAGCTAAATAATAAGCTGTTGAACTGATTCATTTTTTTATCAATTGGAATATTTCGAAATAACAATTTGGGTGAGGGGCATAGATCGATTGAAATGTAAATATTTTTCGAAAGTGACCCTGTTATCACTTTTTCTTAAGTTTAAGAAGAAGTTCTAGATTATATTCACAAAAAAGTGAGATGTGCATTGTCGTGAGATAAAATCCATCGTCCGTAGACACACCTGGCGGCTCTAATTGGCGCGAGTTTGAAAAATATTTTCCCATGGTAACTAAAGAGAAAAAAAACTCAACAAAACAAACTCAACAAAACACTCAGAACTCGGGCGTAGCCGACACCTTCTAGTCGGAGGTTGGTTAGATTTCTAGTCAAAGGTTGGTTAGATCACTACTAAAGCCGATCAAATTACAGCAAACGTATGTTACGGTTCCGACCTAGTAGTATTTCATACTTTCATCTTCTTTCAATAAAATCCGACCATGACCCGCTGTACATCCGTTCTTTCGGCAAGTTCGGACAAGAACCTGACCAATATCCGTTCAAAAGCAGAACCCGGACCAACTTCAAACGAAAAATTACAAGCGAACAGTCGAAAACTAGAATGTTCTAATAGTAGATGAAAACTGCCCAGATTGAAACTTCAAAGCATGGGAGAGAGACATGGAGCAGCTGATGTAGAATGGATCGATTGATGTGAACACTGATCATAACAGATTTGTTCGATGATCAGGCTGACTTTTCGAATCACTCTGATTATCACTTTAATTGATAGCGCATCTTGGATTCAGTGATGTTCCACAAATATTATGCCGCTTGGTGAAGCTCTACCTTTTTAGACATATGAGATTTGAGAAATGGTATCAATCGGTAAAATACGATCAACGGTTTTCGTTAAAAATACGTTTTTAAAAATACGACCTTCTTTCAGAGTTCCTATAATTAGCGTAAAACCTGTAATAGAATGGCCTCTCCTAACTTTTAACTTTGAGCCAATTTCTTTCGGCTCCTGTTGAAGATATTAAAAAGTTTTCAGCTGATAAATTGTTCATCATAATATCACAAATATTTTATCAATTGACACTTTTTTGATATCTCTTATAGGAACTAAGATAATCGGGCTCAACAAAACGGGGGCCGTTCTATTACAGGTTTTAGGGTATATCAGTTTTGAATTTGGATCTATGGGGGATCTCAAAAAGAATGTATGCTTGAAATATGATATTGCGTCTGGAAAACAGAAACAACTTTTGGACATCGATTAACGAACGGATTTTGTACTTTTGATCAACAAAACTACTGAAGGATTTTTGGCTCTTTCCGGGACGAACGGTCCCAAAGCGGGACCTTCGGTCCCATCATCGGACCGCCGGTCCCATCATCCTACCGCCGGTCCCAACGAATTGCGACAACGATCCCATTGTTTCGACAACGGTCCCATTGTTACGACAACGGTCCCAACGTTCCGACAACGGTCCCAAGGGTACGACAACGGTCCCAACCAGGCTTAACCTGGAAACCCTATTGGAAACATCGGAATTTTTTTGTTTCAACTAAGAAACACATTTCAGCAACATAAACGAACATTTTGCTGATAATTGAGAATTCCAGAACTTTTTTACTGGAGTTTTTTCAGAGTGTATTTGGTTTATAATTATAGGCTTAGGCTGAAACGCCTTGTTCACGACAGTGCCGGACAAAAAACGTTTTGGCCAAAGCTTACAATACAAAAAACGTAAATGAAAAGTTCCTGTCAAAAAAATTACTGAAATTCCCAAGTATAAGTAAAATGTTAAATTTTCCACTGGATTTTTAAAAGACCATTCGGTTTTTTTCTGTATTTCAGGAATTGGGTTTTCAGATTAAGCCTGGCTGGGACCGTTGTCGTACCCTTGGGACCGTTGTCGTACCCTTGGGACCGTTGTCGTACCCTTGGGACCGTTGTCGGAACGTTGGGACCGTTATCGGAACAATGGGACCCTTGTCGAAACAATGGGACCGTTGTCGCAATTCTTGGGAACGGTGGTCCGATGATGGGACCGACGGTCCCGCTTTGGGACCGTTCTTCCCTGAAAGAGCCGGATATTTCAACCCTCTTCCGCCAATTTTTGTTGCTCTCTCCAAAGATAAACTCTTCAACCCATTTTTTCCAAAACACAAACACATCTTTGAAAGTGTCCTGTTTATATTTCAAAAAGTCCAACTCTTTTTTTTCTCCTTTTTTTTCATCTCCTCTTCAATTTTCATCCGTGTTTTTGGTTCCGGAAGGGACAACTCCCCAGTGACACTTGTCGCTTTCGAACTCTCTCTGTACTCTTTTTTCATCTCTTTTCCCTTCATTTTTTCAACTAACCCATGACCAAATCTGGTGTGTATGCGACAAAAAGACTCAAGAAAAAAGAGTCATTTGGCCGAGTGCCAACAACTGCATTTTCTCGAGTCTCTATCCTTTTTTCTTCCTAAATACACAACATTTATGTCTCTGTTTTGGCAAGAGAAAGGATAAAATGCATTTTTTCTTCTTTTCTATAAATGGCATTTTTTCACTTTTTTGGGCAATTTTTATGCCGCCTAGCTTCTCGAATTTCGTTTATTTAGGGTCCCCTGCGATGTCTGTGCCTTTTTTGCTATTTCGTTATTCTGTTTTGTTTGTTTTCTAAATTTTCAAAGAGATCAGATGCCTTTTTTTGAAGATCTTAATACTTGAAGTTTCTAGAAATTTTTATGAGGATGACATGATAAACGACATGAATGTATAAACCGAAATTCTCATGAATTTCTAACTAACTAGTAAGTTTAATGGCTTACTGTAAAGAGGATACAACTGTATACCAAAAAATCCTATAAGAAAGCTGTTATAAGGGCGTTTCTTCCCTTCCCATTACCAAACCAAACTTACCGTAAAACTTGTAAAAGAAGGACCTCTTAATTTTCGGTTTTGAGCTAATTTATCTCGGTTCCTGTCATAAATATGCAAAAGTTGTCTACTCACAAATTGTTCATAATGATACCATAAACGTTTTATCAGTTGACACATTTTTGATATCTTGCATAGGAGCCAAGATAATAGAGCTCAAACTGGTCAGTGTGAGGGTCCTTCTATTACGTTTTAAGGTAACCAAAGTTTGAAAATATTTTTTCGGAGTCCGGAATTTGATATTTCACAACATTTGACATTTTTGTTATTTTTTACCTTAAAAAAGTTATAGAGGAGTTGCGAATTACAAAAGAGGTTCTAAACGATCTTTCCCATTACCGAACCAAATTTAGCTAAACTTTACAGCATAAATAATGGAACTTTCTCAACCAGAAAGTAATTTTAAGCTTTTTCAGCCCACATTGTTTTTCTTAAAAGCCATCTTCTGATCTAAAACAAACAAAGAAACTTTTCATGTAAAAGAAAGTCTTTGATCGGTTGTTCATATTCCCAATTGTGCCGAAAAGTCATTCTTCATCCACTCTTATTCTTTCAACATTCCATTTGGTCTCATTCGTTCTTTTTTGTTCTACCATCAATACCAGAAATAGCTCTAGAGGAAAAAGACAAAGAACCTTCTTCTTTCTTCCATCTTTCGTGGTTTTTTTCGTCTTCCAATTGGCCTCGCGGCTCCCTTTTTCTTCTTCTTTTGCTCCCATTAATTCATTTTTTCATGTGCCCCCTCTCTGTTTTTCCATCTTCTTCTTTGAATTCGTCCTTGAATCCCAGAAACGGGCACTTTTTCTTTGATTTTTTTTCTTTTTTTCCTAGGTCAATGGGGAAATGGAATTGGTTTTTAAGCCAGAAAAGCTCACGAAGAAAACGTCCTTTTTGATGTGTTTCGTGTATTGTTTGGCTGTAATTCAAGCCATAGGAAACCACTGCTTTGAAACGGTCCACCCCCGGAAGGTTGACTATACGAAGTTACGTATTCTTCAATATTTTTCTTATTTTTTATCCACCTTCTGAATTCAAGTCATTTGCAATGACATCAATTTTCGGTCGGTTGGAAGTCGGAAGCCTTGCTTCCGGAAGTCAAACATTTGTGTATAAGAGCAACAAGTCACATGTGGAGGCTGGTCGTATTTCCAACTGAGAAAATTGCTGTGTCAGGAACCATTTCTTTTCAAGAACGAATAGTTATTACGTCTGCTTCTGTGTTGCAAAACCTTCCTAGTTGGATACAAAGCACACATGTTAGAACTAGTTTTTGCCCATCATCTTGAAGTAGAAGCTACAATATTTTTTGGCTGCCCAAATTTCGGATTACTATGAAAATGCTAAATTTTAGTAGCTCGGGCGTTGCCGGCACCTTCTAGTCGGGTAATGGTCAGATTCCGGATAAAACGAACCAAACTCCAACAAACTTATGGCAAGGCTCCAACCTAGTAGTATTTTAACTTTCAACTTCCGACCAAAATCTGACCATGGCTTGTTATACAGTCGTTTTTGAGCAGTATCGACCAGAACCTGGCCAATATCCGTCCAAAAGTTCAAGTTTGAGCCCAATTATCTCAGTTGCTGTGAAAGATATCAAAAGTATGTCAACTGATAAAATGTTGGTGTATTATGATAAATACCTTGCCATTTGCCAAAATTTTGATATCTCTCGCAGGAGTCGAAAGTAATTGAATATGTATAGCTCAATTATTTCGATTTTTGTGCAAGATACCATTTTTGTCGATTTCCACCTTTTTGTCAATTTCGACCTTTTTTATAAATTTGACAGGAGCCGGGATAAAGGTTAAAACTATATAATAAAGGTTTAAATTCAAGGTTAAAACTCAGGGGGCCTCCTCTTCCAGGTTTCACCATACCTGCGACCGGGCTTTTGACGGGCCCTTCGCGGGCCTCGCCATAGTTTCTTTCAGAGACAATATTTTTAGGCCAACTAAATCAGATATAATAGAACTCGGCGAGTTCTACAAAATGACAATTTTTGAAAAACTGTGTTTTGTCTATGAACAAAGTTACAAGTCATACAGTGGGTGGGTCTTGTCGCATCGGCCCGGACCGTGCCGTGACTCTGTTTTTTGTATGTAATTTCGTTCATAGACAAAACACAGTTTTTCAAATAGTATCGTTTTGTAGTACTTGTCGAGTTCTATCATATCTAATTTGGTTGGTCTAAAATATTGATTCTAAAAGAAGCTATGGCAGATCCCGCGAAGGCCCGGCAAAAGACCGGTCGCAAATATGGGTTTCACGGCAGGTTATTTAGGAACTCCAAACAATTCAGAAGTCGATCTTGCCAAGAAAAAGAAACATGACGTGCACTTAAAAATGTTTGAAGATTGTTTATGTGTTAACCCCAGAGTCAGTTGGTTCCCGGATCTCTCGTTTTTCATGTTTCCAAATGTCCATCTTCTTCACTTCCTGTGTCCCTCTTTCTCTTCCATCTGCTTCTTCTGCTTCTTCTTTCCCATCACCACCATTTCCGTTCCTTTCTATTCCTCTACTCTTCTTCTTCTTATTTTCCGTGTCGCTCATCTTTTCTTTTGTTGCTCTCCGGCTTCAAAAATGTTCGAAAAATGGGCGTGGTCGCCAGCTCCCCTTGCCCATCGCTTTCTCTTCTTCCGCTCCCTGGCTCCTTGGCATTTCGATCCTCTGTTTTCTTTTTTCAAGACCACACACACATGCTGCATCACAACAACTGTGTGGGTGCTTCGACCATGTGTTAACTCACTTTTTTCTCAGGCACATTTTATTAAAACACAAAGTTCCATTAATCTTTTTGCAGGTCGAACTTGTGAAAAATGACCACCAGTGTTTACAAACGGACAATCCTTATAACCGGAGCAACTGATGGAATCGGGAAACAAACGGCGTTGGACCTGGCTGCTCATCCAGATAATTTTGTGATTATTCACGGAAGAACCGAAGAGAAATGTATTGTGAGTGTAGAGGGCTATTTTTTTCGAAATTTTTGAAATCGTATCTTCTTTTCTTGAGTTCAGATATTTATCTCAGAAGAGCTTCACCTATAGGTTGCGAAATTCATAACAATTACCGTCTGCTAATAGACTACCTCCCAAGCAGTCAACTTTGAGCCAATTTATCTCGGTTCTTGTGAAAGATATGAAACAGTTGTCAACTGACAAAATGTTTATAATAATTTCAAATATATTTTGTCGGTTTGTCACTTTTCTATATCTTAAACATGAACCGGGATAAATATGCTCAAAGTTAAATGTTAAATAGGCGTTTTATTAGAGTGTTTACGGTAGGTATGTTATTTCATCAAGAAAAACCGCTTCCTCTTTTAGCTCTCGAGTCTCATGTTGACCAGTTTCTTGGGAGCTTGCTCCTCCCAAAACAAGCTTGATTCTCGAAGATGTTCTCTCATAAATATTAATGAAATTCCATGTCTACCCTATACTCTTTTCATTTTCAGGCGACCAAAGAATGGATTGGTAAGGAGAATGGAAATGGTACCAACATTGATTATGTGGCTGGAGATTTTGCAGTTCTCAAGGAGGTAAGAGATTCAAGAATGAATTGGTTCTCTGGTAGAATTCGTGTTTGTCTCTGTCCCGATTCATCATAAAATAGTGTTTACTGAAAACTTGGGAAAAGCTGAAAAAAACATGTTTTGACCAGAAAAGTCTCGTGTTGAAGGTCGCCATCATTGCTGAAGAGGTCGAACGTCGATTCCCAGAACTTAATGTATTGCTGTGCAATGCGGGAGTACTGTATCCGAGAAGATTGGAAACCAAAGATGGAATGGAGTCTACTTTCCAGGTTAGCTATCAAAACGGATACAAATATTTCGAAACCTAGTACTGTCAAACATTAAATAAAATCTAAAAAAAAATAAATAAATCTAAAAAAAACATATAAATAAATCTTTAAAAAAAATCTAAAACATGTAAAGGTCTACATACTTTCAACATTTGCGCCGTTTTTTCTCGGTTCCTATGAAAGGTATTAAAAAGTTGTGAACTGATAAATAGTTTATCAGAAAAACTGTATTGGGGCACGTCTGTTATAGGTAATCTTTTTAGGTCAACTATCTTGCTCATTACCTTCTTTGCAACCTTCTTCTACCGGTTCTTAGCCACAACCGATCCAATGTGATTGTGGTTGGAAGTGTGCTCCATACATGGTAAGTGATCCTTGAAATAAAAATTGTCTGTGTTCCAACATCCGTTATGATAAATATCTCTTTGTCCCCGGATACCTACCGTAACCCGAAAAACAGAATCCTCAATCCGATCTTTGACCATTTTTTTGGTGTTTTTCTGTTTTTCTGTCTGAAAAGTTTCCGTTTTAAACTCGCTCTGAAAATGTGTTTTTTTTTTCAAAAAATTTGTCTTTTCTGGAAAAAACACCATGTTCGGAAATCGCGGACTGACATGACATTTCTCAAGACAATGTAATTGAGCATTCCCTATTTTGTTGCCCCTAGGTTCCTGTGAAAATGACACATTTTGTTGTATGGAAATCGGAAAGTCTGGGTTTCTGTGGATATGTGTTTGTGTTTTGAAAGCAGTGAGATTGAGATTGGCTGACGAAAAGAACAAAGAAATAAGAAGAAGGAAAGAGCATTTTCGGGGGTCAATTTTTAAAATTGCATCCGATATTTCCCTTGGGGTGGGGAACACATCAACCAAAAGAATAGAAGAGTGGGGGAAAAATGAAAGAAGGAAAAGAAAAGAAGAGAAGTTTCAGAGATTCAAGGAGAGAAGGCAATTCATGAAATTTTTTGATCTGAGTAGACATCAGAGCTTCCGAATTTTGTGCAGATTCAGAGATCTGTGGGGTATAACGATGTAAAGTATTTTAAAATTTGAAAGAGTACTAGGAATACCGTAAACACTTTAATTGACTGCTCCCAAACCGTCAATTTCGAGCCCCAGGTATCTAACTTTTCGTAAAAGGTATCGAAAAGTTGTCAACTGACAAAATGTTCACCATAATGTTAAAAATATTTCGCCAGTTAATTCATTTTTCATACCTTTTACAGGAAATGAGATATATGAGCTCAAAGTGGACGGTACGGGTAACGTTCTAAGAGTGCTTACGGTATTTAAAAATCTGAAAGAGCACCAATAACATGCATGTTTTTCGGCTGTCTAATAAAAAAAAGGACCATTCGAAAATAAAGGCAAACTTTTTTAAATTTAAATAAAACAAATGCAACCTTCTGTTTAGATGGTTGCCGTATTTCTTCTATTAGGTTGGCACACATGACTCCGAACTTTTTTGTACAAAAACAATTCATTGTAAATTCGAAACCTTATAACCTCCATCTAAAATGTATTCACCATTATTATCATCAACTTCATGTAAACGTTCACGCATAGAATGGATGCCTCTGTGGAAGAACTGCGCTGGCTGCGATGCGAAATACTCGCCTACCCATTTTTTGATCTTGTCATTGTTTTTGGAGTACTTCTCCGCCACAAAGTGCTACATTGAGCTAAAGAAATGATAATCTTATAGAGCTCTATCAGGTCTATCTGGCGCGTAAGAAAGAACTTCCCAGCCCAGCTCTTCGATTTTCTGCGATGTGATCTTTGCATCATGGGAGCGGGCGTTGTCCCGAAGCAACTTTGCAGACGTCGTATCAACTCCTTTTCGACGAAGTGCTTTAACAACATGGCCAACCTGGTGTAGAGCAAGATCTTCTGGGACTTTCTGACAAGAATCCAGAAGCCCAAAAGTTACAGGACCTTTCCTGTTACACCAAGAACAAAGCATCGCCGTTTTACATGAAAATCTGGTTTCGGGGTCAGCTTGGATGTTTGGCACCCCCAAACCACTCTCATTTTTTGTGGTATTGCCATAAGAAAACCATTTTTGCTCTCCAGTCACAGTTTAGTCAAAAAACCCTGATTTTCTGGCGGAGAAACCATGATTTTCCGGCGGAGAAACCCTGATTTTCCGGCGGAGAAGAATCCCTGCCATTGCCACCTTTGTCGCTTTGTTGGTATTGGTAAGTTCGTGTGGCGTGCATTTTCCACAGCGGTTTGTTTTGCCAACTGCGTTCAAAAAATATATAATTGTGTTATGAGACCATCCAAACTGCTGAGCAAGTTCGCAAGTTGTTTGACCCGGTTCCGATCCAGTGGTATGCTTTAGCACATCGGGATCAACAATTTGATGAGAAACTCCACTCCTGTGGTCCTCAAGACTTTCATCACTGGTTTTGAATAGGTTTTGAATAGGCCATTCATAGACCTGTGTCTAAAATAGTCCTTCGTCACCGAAAACTTTCGACAGTGTGCGGGCAGGTTCTTGTGATGTTTGAAGTCGTACCATAAACAGGCGTGCATCAGTAATTTTGGGTTGATTATTTCAAAAACATTTTCTTCTGATATCCATTGATTAAATCCGCGCAAATAATATATCAAACAACTCGTAATGAAACGCTCTTTCAAATGAACATAAACACATAAAAAAACGTTCGGTTGCTTCAAGTTATAAGTAAGCAAAACAGTGTTCGGAGTCATGCGTGCCAACCTAATAATAGAAGCCCACTCAAACCCTCAACTTTGATGTCAATTATCTCGATTCCGGTGAGAGTAATCAAAAGCTTGTCTTTTGTCAAAATATTGGCGATGTTAAGATAAACTTTTTATCAATTGACTTTTTGATATCTTTCACACGAATTGAGATAATTGAGCTCAAAGTTGGAGGTGTGGGTGGGCTTTTATTAAAGGAAATACGGTAAGGGGTTATCTTATAGCAAACTTTTTAAAATGAGATCTTTTCTGAAATTATTTAAACACCGACGTCATCTGAATTCATACAGATTCCATTATTTTTTGGTTCCTAATTAACGTTCTTCCATTCCCAGAACCCTTCCAAAGTCATGTGCTCATCACAAACCGCCTCTCTCCCATTTTGTGATGTAATTTCCGTAATCGGAAGCTTTGGTTTCCGACACAAAAACAAAAAAGAGCGATTTCTCTTTTTCTAATCTAATTTATTTCCTCTATTTTACAGGCCATCATTGGATTGGGCAGATGTGATGGCTGAAAAAGAATACGAAAAGTATCTACAGTACTCTCGATCTAAATTAATGTGTCACCTGATGGCATTCGCTTTGCATCGAAGGTAAAAGAACAATTTTTGAGGGAGAAGAGTGAAATCGAACCGTCTCAAATTTCAGAATGAATATCGCCCGACAACATGTCAATGTGAACATTATCGAGTTGGGAAAAGAGAAAGAGCCGAATAACAATGGAAAATTGTAAGTGATCTTCATTTTTTGTTAACTAGATAATCTTTTTGCAGACGTACAACATCAGCATTATCTTCCTCAATGTCAACACTATCGATTTGCCGTCAAGCTGGAAATCTCGCGCAGTTAATCGAAGGTCCATGCTTGGAAAAGATTTCTGGAAAGTATTTGGATCCAAGTGGGAAACAAATGAGGTCAGCAATTTAATAGACTATAAATCTGGTACAAAAATTGGAGCTGTTGGGCGTGGTGGAAGGTCCCAGTACGGCAACTACCGTAACCTAAAAATATTTTTAATTCCCGAATTGATTTTCTCAATTTTTTAACTATAAAAAATCCCTACTTTGTTTGGGGAACAATAACACAAAAACTCAAGCAGTGAAAAACGAGAAAATAAACCCGGAAAATAAAAATATTGTTCGGTTTCTGTAGTTGTCGCTGTGGGACCTTTGGCCAGGACCACCAGGGTTTCTCTTCCATATTTCTGATTTTTTTGGTACCAGATCATTACCAGATCATTTAAATTTTTTAGAAGCGGTTCCGATGCAACCGACGAACGTCTTCAGGAACGTCTCTGGGCTTATTCCAAAGAGCTTTGCCATGATTATTTGTAGATAACAGAATAGTTGTCCCGAATGTTATAATACTTCTTCTCAGCTAGTACTTTTCAGCCATACCATTCCAGATGTTTAGCATGAAATGCGTGAACCGGTTCTGCTTCTGTTCTCAAAACAACAATTCAACCTACAAAAGTTTTCTTCGTCGACTCTAGATTTTTTTGTCATGACTGTACATTTTGAATCCTTGAAAAATAAACCATTGTAATTGTTTTATTAGCATTTTCTTGGAAAAATAACCTTGTTGTTGAGGGTAAAAACGTCTATTTCAGTGTCATGACTAGATGGGTTAATGATTATAAAAGAAGGGGTACAAAGGGGGAAGAGATACATTTCATGTGAGAGGGGAAAATTCAGTTTCAGAGGGTCAAAGTGGGTCAGTTTGGTTTTTGATTAATTATGATGTTGTACAGTATTATTATTCTTTTCAACAGAAAAACTTCGTTGAGTGGCTCGAGATGAAGAGATCAGGGTGGTTGTGGGGCGGCAGGATTCGGATGCACTTCTCATTAGACGAGGACAATTCTCATCATCGTCGAAATTAGTGAGAACTAGGGAGGAGCAAACTGGTGGAGCGATTTTAGGAGGCATTCGAGCACTTTCTTTTAAAGTGTCACTAGCTGACGTGGCTTCTTCTTCAATTCGGGAAAGTGAACGAACATCAAGATTACCAATTTCTGAAAGTATCTAGTTGTAGCTTAGTACAAAAACGTCAATTCACAAACCAATTTCATCGCCCATTACAAAAACACTATCTGCATCGGTACCAGAACTAGCATAAGTTGTGCATCCAGAAGACGTCATTGTGCTCGTCATTGAATCAAACATTGGACATTTATCATTACCAACAATATGTGAAGAAGATGCTGAAGACGTCGTCATAACCGGCTTCTCCCCTAGATCTTCGCTGTTCATCACTTCGTCTCCAAGCCAACCCCTTTCAATAATCGTCTTCTCATCGCAATCTGAGCCGACATTTGATGTAGAATTCCAGAAGCTTTCCTAAATCTTCATGAAATGAACAAAGTGACTCAATGTTCAAAACTTACATGATTTTGCGACATTTCGAGATGCTTGATACGGTTTTCAAGTGATTGAATGTATCCCAGAAGTCGAGATCTTTCTCTCTTTGAAACTTCTCTGCGCTCCTCTTCTTCTGATGGCTCTGAGCACATCGATGTAGCCATGATGCGGCGAAGTGTGGATTCTTTGTGTTTATTGAAGCATTTGTTGAAATCGTGATGCTTTTCGTCGTCGTTGTGACCTTCGGATTCACCACTCTGTTCACTGCTTCCACATCCCAAATCTTCACTTTCATTATCACAATCGACGTTAGCAGCAGTGTGTGACAACAGACTTTGTCTCTGTTCATCCAGATACATACACAATTGGCGTAGTTCATCGACTTCTCGTTCTTTCGTTGTTAATTTCTCTTCGATGCTCACCATTTTTTGATGGTAGGAATTCACTTCTTGCTTCATTAGATTACTTGTGTAGCGACCGAACTTCTGCCATTCACGAGCAAGTTTTCTCGTTTTCTGACGGTCATCATCGAGAAAACAGCACAAATCACGAAGTTCTTTGTTGCTCACTGTGAGCTTTCGATTCTCATCTTTCAGCATTCGGATTTCATTTACATGCATCTGAAATTTCAATTATTTTTTTGAGGTTGCGGTAAACTTTCCAGAAATATAACTCACACCACTCTTCTCATTTTGGAAGAAATTTTCGAGAATCCAAGAGCACATATTTTTAGCTCAGACTCGGGGAAAAATAGAGGCAAAGATATATTAATTAGAAGCCGGTCAAAATGTGTGAACCGGTCGCTCATAAAACAAACAAAAGCTATATGCCGACGGAAGGAAAAACGAAAAGAAATTGATATGGTGAAGGAGGGGACTAAAAATCAAGTGGCTACTGACCTGAACTCTCCTGTTCGCATCGTTTACCACATCGGACTGCATTCGCATAAGCTTCTGATTCTCATCATCCAACATTTTACACCGGTGACGCATGTGCTCGTACTGAAGCTTTGACGCAGAATACTGCATTTGCTGGAAATGAAAAGAGGTTTATTAGAAGTTCAGCAGTTCACAGAAACCCACATTTCGAGAAACAGGAACAGCGTAGGACGGAGTTCCTTGAGGAGTGATTGATGGTGGTGATGAGATCACCGAGTTGTTGCTGACTACTACTGTAGGATATCGGATCACAGGGGAGCGAGCTGAAAGCCAATTTCTTTGGTAATTTAAATATCTTGATTGACTTACGTGGAGTCTGTTTAGATGTAGACGCACAAGACGATGAAGATGAAGACGATGATCCGAGTGATGATGGTGTAGTGCTGCTGGCAATCGGAACATGACGAAGTACTGGTTTGGCATAGTGGACAGTGGACGCAGAACTGGCGCTATCGGACATATTAGCTGTAAACGATGGTTATGATATCAGAATGATAAAGATAATGATTGTTATGCGTGGGAATGAATTGAATAAAGAAGCGAAAGATAGTAAGATTTGTGAAGCATACTGGGTATTAAAAAGAAGTTCGGTTGAATTGCTCTGCATACATACAGTATAACTGATACTAGAGTATAAGATGAATGCTGGAGAGAGGAATGGCATTATGAGTTATCAGAGTGCAAACAGTTGATACCCCCAGGATTATGTGTGAAATGTGAAATAAATAAAATAACACACATGATTCTCCGAGAGTTAAACGACGTTGATGCGCTTTTTCACACACGGCATGCGGCATACGCCGGATAATCCGTCCGGAAATGCGTTTACTCAACAGCTCACGCTACGCATCCATACTGAAGTGAGAAATGTGAGAATCCTTGAAGAACTATTCGGAAGAAGTGAAAAGAAGTCAGATGCTTATAGGATTCAACAACCAGGGGTAAATCGCATCTGGTTCAGTTGTCCAAGCGACGAAGCATATGGGGTCAAAAAGTCAAGAGAAACTCAGAACCAGATGGAGAATCAAAGAGTTATTTTTTAGATTTCTTTTTGCGTTGTAATTATGCAACAAATATTTCAAAGGGAGATACGAAAGTTTTAGGCAAGAATAAGAACAAAAAACACTAATCGTCAAATGACAGTCAGCATGCGGTCAGCTTTACATCTATTCGACTTATTTCTTTTTTTACAATCGAAGCTTTTAATGACCTATGATTCTTTTTTGAGAAACTACATTTTTTGAAAGACAATAGAGTTAAAAAAGGACTCGTCTATGAAATAGATTACGGTAGCTGAAGTTATATGGACAAACCTTACTGATGTCCACCTACCGTAACCACTATAATAGAATTCTACTCAAACCATCAGCTTTGAGTCCATATATATTATTTTCTGTAAAATTGACCGAGAAGTTGTAAATTGACAAACTATTGTTAATATTATGCTGAACAATTCGACAGTTGACCATTTTTTGATATCATAACTTTCATAGGAACAAAGATGAATTGCCTTAAAGTTGAAAATTCGACACTCCACCGATTCCGAGGA